TTTAGGCCGAGGTCCCACACCTCTTGGCCGAGGTGTGGTCTCCTAGGCCTAGGTGGCATGCAAGAGAGGCTAAGGTGCAAGTGATCATGCAAGGTAGGCCAAGGTGAGATACGATGCTTGGCCTAGGTGCGAGATCTACGCAAGAGTAGGTCTCAATGACTACACTTAGGCAAATGAAGTCTGGAAATCTGGGTTTCCTCTTAAAGGACATGAAGAACATGAAGATAAAGAACATGAATGCTAAAATCATAACTCCTTATTCAAAATATGAGATTTCATGATATGAGTTCAAAAACATGGACCTGGGTACCCATTCTTGAAGATTTCATGAAAACAAACACAAAAACATAGGACTTGTTACAAACTTTCGGATCAAAATAAGGCTTTTCTTGAAGAACACAAAAACATCATTTTCTATTTCTGAAACCAAACTTTAAATCAATGCTTGGCTCATGAATCATGCTAGATCATGCAATGTGATTAGATCAACATAAAGAACAACAAGAGTGAATCAAGAATCTAACCTCAAAACACGAATCTAACGGTTCAAGGTGTGAAAATCAAGCTTGGAAATCTAGTTCTCTCTCTAAGAACTTCTTCATCTTCTTCCTAGAGCTTCTCTCTCTATAAGGCTAGGATATGGAAAGTGATATGGGTTTCTCAGCTACAATCTGACTTAACCCTCTACTGGGACACGTGGCATCGCCGGATTGGATCTCCTCAAAAAGGTGCCAAAATGAAAAGACAAGAGTATAACAAAGTGTGTATAACAAGTAAGGTGGCATGGGCACTCTGACAAGGAAATGATCTCAGATTAGGACATAGGCTTCAGACAAGAAGGTTTCAATGATCTCAGCTAGGAAAGATAACACTTGACTTAGGTGTGTCACACCCTAGCCTAGATGTGCCACACCTCTGCCTAGGTCATACCAGTCCCGGAATAAAAGGTTGCTAGGTTCAAGGATCAAGGATCTAGGACACCTAGATAATTAACATCTCGGCCTAGATGATGCATGTAGACACCCCATTTTTTACTGTCCTTCAGACTTGGGTGCTACTGATGGTTTACTTGGTGGTGAAAGATATGCAATGCAAACGTTCAATTTCTTCGGCAATGAGAGAGTCAAATCCCAACCTCACACCCAATTTTTGGATCAAAAATATTTTGAATGGTTTTTAGACCTTAAAACCCTTTCTTTCAAAATACTTTTTTGAAAAGTTCCTATGATGTTCCGACGCTCGCATTTTGTTAAATGTTGCGCTTTTTGGTAAACCGCGCAAGGACAATATAGCGATCCCGGGTTTACCCTTGTTGTACAGTGATCCGAACATGTGTCCGTGGATGATAGTAGTTGATTATTACCTGGTGTACATCCTTTCTTACTTTGTATTTGAGTTATAGGATGTGTTGGGCAGATTTGTTACAGGTTGGTTGAGATTAGAAACCAAAACTAGTTGCCCAGATTCTGACATGTCCGCTCGAGTGGGGGTTTTGGCGCTCGAGCGGGAGTTTCACCCATCCAGTATTTCCTGTGCAGTGTTCGACACTCAAGCGTGGGATTGGCCGCTTGAGCGGGATTGTGTGAGTGCCGGTCGAGCGGGGAGTTGGAAGCTCGAGCGGGAGACCTGTCTGCAAAAGTTCTGGGAGTGTGTATCTGCCGCTCGAGCGGGATTGTTGAGGCTCGAGCGGGATTCTGTGAGTGACGCTTGAGCAGGGAGTTTGACGCTCAAGCGGGGCGACTTTTATACAAATCCGAGATCCGACTTTTGGATCACTTTTTTAAGGTCTTTCCTCTCTCTTACTTTTCCAAAAAGCCATTTTCAGAGCTTCTCACTCTAAAACCGACCCTTCTCTCTTAGATTTGATCTAGTAGGAGTTGTTTGCTCACCTTTGGTCTTTACGAAAGTTGCGTTGATCGTCGAGGGCTACATTTTAATCTGAAAATTTCAGAATTTGAAGCATTTTGGTTTTGGTCTTCATCTCCATTGGAACTCAAACTTTGAGGTAGGGATATCCCACTCCTCTTTATGGGTTTTGTCTTTAAATTTTGGTATTATGAATCACGAAGTCTAGCAGCCTCGTGATTATTAAATTCCTAATAAAGTTTAATAGAGCAAAGATATCCAATATGCAGAATGCCCAAAATATAAGTTTATTAAATCTGTTCCTCTTCCTCAAATAAAGTTTAAATTCCTAACAAAGATATCCAATATGCAGAATGTCCCAAAATTGATTCTTTCATATGATTAAACTAACCAACACATTCAAATAAGTATAAGAATCTGAGTGAGTTAGAGCATAAAATGTCTTCAACCCACTAGTTCAACTAAATATGAATAAAATATATAGGGATCATCAACGAATGAGAATTTAAGCACAATATTATCTCATCAATAAATCTAGTTGGAGTTTTCACATTATAACTTATGCTTTCTGATGAACCCCATCCTTATTAGAATGAATGAAACGGAAGTTGAAAAAATGATCACTATTTGGCCACTTTTGTATTGAAGGAACCTTACAGAAATTTGTCTTCTTTTATGACTCCATGGGCTTGGCTAATTATGCAGTGGTTGATTTGCTATTAAATGTCTATCTCTCCTAATGATCTTTCATTATGTCTATCTCTCATATAAATCACACATACTCTGTAACAAAGTTACAATGGTGTACATATATTGGGTGACCATGCTCAATTGTGAAAGTAGATTGAAACAGATTCAAACACTCCATTTCAATTGTGCTGATAAATTTGTCACTTGAGCATAGAATCAAACTACTTGGTGGGTAAAAATTTAACAATCCACATATCAAACAAACAATCACCTAAGCCATGATCCAAATTCAGAGTTTATGATCTAAATTTTTTAGTCACCAATTACTTTTATAAATCCTCAAAACTTTAAGGCCTCAAATGCAATGGCGTAAAATTAATATAAAGGGAAGTTATATGATAAACGCATAGATGAATCCTCTCAAAAGGAAAACTATATTTATCAATGTTTCCTCCTCAAACAAACAAAGGATCTTTCTCAATCAACTCATAAATTTGTGATTGATCAATATGGCTGAGTTTCGAGGAGCAACAAAAATAAAAGAGTACAATAATTTATTAAAAAAAATCAAAGAAGATCAATAGGTCAT